AATTTTATTTTATTTCTTTTAGATTTTATATAATATAATTTCAATGTTTTTTTTTGTATTACATTACAAAAAATTTTCAAAGTGTTTTATTATAATTATATTGAATTATAATTCTCATTGGTTTCATGCACAAATAAGTATTTTAATATTACATTGAGTTACAATTCTCATGAATTTCATGCAAAAAAATAAATATTTTAATATTGAGTTACTGATTCTATTTATAACTTTATAAAAAACGATCATCTTTCATGTCATTCTCTAATCATCATCGCACTTACTTTGTAAAAAACGAAATGTTGAGATTTATTTTGTTAATAAAAAGTAAAAAATATGTAGACTTAATTTTAAATGAAATACATGCAGATAGAAGTCATTTTTTTTTATTAAATATTTAATTTATATTTATAAATTTTATTTTTCTCATCTTCGTACATGTTACCATTAATTATTCAATATTAGTTTATTTGTACAATAGTAATCATGACTTTATTTTCTTTTTTCAACTATGAAAATTATGTTATCACATATAGAGTTTTATAAAAAATTTTGAAAAAGTGTCATTAATGTGACCAATAATTTTTTTCACGGCATATCAAATATTTTTGTCAGCTTAAAAATTTAATTTTAAAAATTTAGAAAAAAAAATTATATTGGATTTTATATTTTTTTTTTAATTGTTATTGTTTCTAGAGTCATGATTCATGTTGTCTAATTATTGTTATTACTATTGGTTATAACGAACACAATTCATAATATTAATGTTGTATTTGTGGAAGTATTTTTAAATGGATTAATATAAAAATTACTTTACATTATCTCAATAAATTTTTTAAAAAATATTTTTTCTATTAAATTGTCATTCATTCACATTATTTTTAATATTAGGCCGCGCAACGCGCGGGTGGCGTACTAGTATTCTCTTTATATTAACTACTCCCTCCTATTCAAATTAATTGTCGTTTTGGCTTTGTGCACAATAATTAAAGGTTATTTTTTTACCAATAATACCCCCATTAATCAAAATTAATAACGTGGATAAGGGAGCTATTGCAAAGAAACTGGAGCTGCAAAATACTCCCCGTGAGGGCAATTTTCTTGAAAAGTGGGAGTATAATTAATCTGTTACATAGAAAGAAGAAAAAAAAAACGAGAGAGAGAAAAAGGCTTGGACCAAACACAAAGAAAAGGAAAAAAAAAAGGGTTTAAAGTTAAAAACCCATCGTCTTCCACCTATTTCCTCTGTAACTCTAATTTTTCAACACCTTACAGATTTGGAGCTAAAATTTCCACATGGAGGTAAAATGAAAATTCACATTCAACATTTCAAAATTTCAACAAGGAGCCAAAATTCACGAGGAGGTCTATAAATTTGATATGGATAATTTAATTGAATTACACATTATGAATAAAGATTTGCAATGGCTTCAAATATTCCGATTGATTTGAACAAACCTCCTTATGAGGTACAAGATGCAGTACCGAGATCTTCAGAGAACATTATAATCGAGTTAAATGTCGACGACAACCCGGAATTTGGATACCCTGTTATCGAGCTCGACTTAAATCAATTTTTCGAAGATGATGACGATGCAAGGTCCGATTCATCTGTGGAAGAGATAATTGGTCAGCAAGCCAATGACGGAGAAGGAAATAAAAACATAGAAGGGGTACTTGAAGGGCACGTAATATCGGGTGGAGAAGGGATTTTCAATGAATTTGATGGCGGGAATGGTGAAGCAGGGGAAACAAGCCAAGGTGAGTTTTATTGACATCAACTTTTTTTTGTTTTCTTGATGTTCGTATTTTCTCCAAATTACATTTTGCTCACTGTGTGGTGAATTTTCAAGCAAAATATTGGGATACCTTTGTTGTTAGTTATGTACTTCATGCTAGTTTAGAGTGTAATGTATTTACGGATGTATGCTTGCAGAAAATTTTGATTTCTGCTAACTCGTGAAAGGTTTGAATAATTTGATGTTTTCTCATCAAGTTACTTTTATTTGTTTGTTTGTTTCTGTGTATGTGTGTTTATCCTTTTTTTTTTCTTTTCTTATTTTGAGAATGGTGTTGGAAGTTATTTTTGGACGTTAATATTGGTTCACTTTTATTTCTTTGTTTTTTTTTTCTTCACCACTGATTCCATTAATGATTACATGAAGTGGTGGTGTGATGAATTATTTCATTGACTTGATTTGTTAAAATATGGAGTAATGTTGTGCATGTATATGCTGTGTATGTATATTTTTTTATTAAAATATTTCATTGACTTGATTACATGGAGTAATGTTGTGTATGTATATTTTTTTTATTAGTGGTAATCATTAGAGGATAAATTTTTTAGATTGGTAGATGAGATTAGACCATAAGGTTGAACATGTATTCTTGGCTTAGGGTACCTTAAAAAAGAAAAAAGCAAAAATGATAAAGGTTTGATTTGATAGTAGTATGTTATGTGGAGATAGATATATGAAAGTTTCTAGTGGTCTTATTGTGAACTCTTTTGTGTGCTAGAGAGTTGTGATATTTTTTATTTTTTTATGCAAATATACAAGTTTTAATTAGTTCTTTCTAGGTTTCTGTTGGTAAGATATTGTAAGTTTCAACTATGTTTCCCTTGTCGCAATATTCAGTTTCATAGTTTCATTGCTTTGTTCTCTATGTTAAATTTGGTTAACATTTTTTCAATAGGCAATGTTCAAAAGAGAGAATAGGATCCTAACTGACGTTGAACGGTGGGCAGTTTACCATGCTTTGTTGGAGAAAAGTGTAAATGGTAAATTGAAAAAGAACACAACAAAAGAAGTGAAAGATATGTTCAATATTGAGCTGTGAACAGTTCAAAGAATATGGAAAATGCACAAGAGAACTTCACCAGGCGCAGATGTGGATGTTTCGTCGAGGAAGACACGGAACTGTGGTCGTAAACGAATTGAGGTAGATTTAAGTAGGATTCAACAGATAGAGTGGCATCAACGAACAACACTTGCATCTCTTTCTAATGCTTTAGGAGTTAGTTACTCCAAATTGTATAGACTTTTTAAGCGAGGAGTTCTACGTCGTCACTCAAGTGCCATCAAGCCACATTTGAAAGACGAAAATAAAATATCACGGCTAGAATTTTGTTTATCGATGCTTGATGAAAGCACAACATTGAACGAGCCGAAGTTCAAGGGAATGTATAACTATGTGCATATCGACGAGAAATGGTTTTACTTGACAAAGAAGGAGCAAACGTATTACCTACTCAACAATGAAGAAGATCCTCATCGTTCATGCCAAAGTAAAAATAACATTGCAAAAGTTATGTTTCTAGCAGCCACGGCTCGTCCTAGATTTGATGGTGCAGGAAGGGTGGTATTTTCGGGCAAAATTGGATGTTGGGCGTTTGTCACAGAGCAACCAGCCCAAGGAAATAGCAGGAACAGACAAGCTGGCACAATGGAGATGAAGGCGATCACATCTGTTAAAAGAGAAAATGTGAAAGCATTTTTTATTGAAAAAGTTATCCCATCCATTATTGAGAAATGGCCTAGCTCTAATTATGGAGAAACTATTTATGTCCAACAAGACAATGCTAGGACTCACGTTCTTCCTAATGACCCTGATTTTCTAGCAGCAGCTTCACAAAATGGCTTTGACATTCGATTAACTTGTCAGCCTCCTAATTCTCCAGATTTGAATATACTTGACCTTGGGTATTTTATGGCCATACAGTCGTTACAGCAAAAAATATGCGCGAGGAATATCCCTGAGCTTGTAAGTGCGGTAGAGAAGGCATTCTCTGATATTCACCCATCAAGCTCAATTGCGTGTGGCTGACATTGCAATTATGTATGAAAGAAATCATGAAATTAGGAGGAGGAAATCGATATAAAATCCCTCATATAACAAAAACCGATTTCAAAGACTAGGTCATCTTCCTACACAAATTTCATGCGAGTTAGTATAAGCGAGTAAAGACTTGTTAGAAGCACGACTAGGTAAATCAATGTTAACCTTTACTTCTCCTCTTCATATATTCACTATTATTGATAATGTTATCATTTGCTTGTAGGTAACGGTTCGATTGGAGATAGATTGGAAGAAAATTAGTGATGTCTATGAAAAATGATGGCCTCCTTCAAGTCGAGATGTGCTGCTTTAATGTTGCATATGAATTTGAACTTTTAAGTCTGCTCGCAGTTCGGTTGCTTGTTTTTTTATGGAGAGACAAGATAGACAACTCCTCCCTCCTAGTGTTTTATTCTCTTGTGGATTGCATTTGGCCTTTTCATGTTGGTGATATTGTTTTAGTAATTTCTATATCCAGTGTATGCCTTTACCTTTTGGAGTAATATTTCTAGTTGGCCAAATGATAGGTCTGATAGTTGTTAAATGACGATATCTAACCTCTATTCTGAATATTAGAAGGGCCAAATTAAAAAAGCCAAACCTAAATTTCTAACACTCATGCTGTAAAAACAAGTCAGGAGAATAAAAATAATGAGAGCTCTCTCTTTATGGTTTGGTAGCTAACTGCAATATTGTTAGAAATGTTAAAAAGGTAGTTAACTGTTAAAAATGGTTTGGGAGAACAAGGATTAGATTTAGCACAGTAAATTGAAATGACAATGTTTGCGCCTTAGCTTTTGTTTTTAGATTCTCTGACTCCTAAATCGACCACTTGATTGATTCCAAAAACGTGCTCGATCCTTCCAAAAAACGGTGAATACGGTTCGAGCGAAAAGAAGGATCGTGTAATCGTATGTTTGGCTCCAAAGGGAATTCTCTTTTAGATGCTTCACTTTGTGCTTTTTCCACGTGACCTTCTTCTCGTACTCGACCAACGTTATGCTATCCAAATTATCACTGCCTTTCATTCTCCTCAACATCTACTCGAGATCCGCGAGAGTTTCCATCTCTTGATACAAACTCGTGTTAGCGGCCACAAAACGCTCCATTTTCTTGATTTTATGCTCCATTTTTTCCACGAGAACTGCCACTTGTACGTGTCCACGTCATTTTTTTATTAGATTGTTGTAGGCCTGCTCGAAGCTCCTCAAGAGAGGGTCGTTGCACTTTTTCGACAGCCTGGAGACAGCTCGTGCCACGTGGGATAAATTCTCCATCATCTCCGTGCATATTAACCGGCCGATGTAGTCGTCGTTTTCCGAGACGAGCTTTTTGATGCCGGCTGAATTTGTTATTTCGTCTCTTAATCTCGCGACTTGCTTGTCGGTGAGAGATTGCCATAGGTGGAGGAGTTTGGTAATAAGGCTAGCGGCTTCGAATGCCAAAACCGCAATCTGTGATTTGTGTGCTTGGGAATTGGATTTCTTGGAAGATGTCCATAAATTTCGGAACCATGATTTAGTCACCATATCGAAATGTATGCAGATTGTTCAAATAATGATCACCAAATCAGTTTTATTAACTCTACCGTTTCTTCATTCTCTGTGGAAAAAGGAAATCGGTGGATAAAGGGAAGGCTTAGTATCATCCATATATGAGCACAAGTGTAAAATGAATAAGATTGACTGATAGTATCAATTGTAATTGGAGTATTACATATGGAGCACAACTCTTAACTAATTTCTTAATTCTCTTTTCAAAACAAAGAAAGATAAAGGAAAACCAAGCTCAAACAATTTTACTACAAGCAACATATTCATTAAAAAAAAAAGTAAATTACTCATACAAAAGCATATGAGAATGAAACTAGCTAAAATCTAATAACAGGAGAAGACAAACAAAATAAATTAGCTCACCCTAGAAAAAATAACACTAACAGCTAAATTCATCAATAACAATATAACATGAGAAGAAAACAGAAAAAAACAGAAACAGATTCAATCCAACATCAAAAGATTAATTAGCTCACCATAGAAACAAATTCGTCCAATAAGCAGAAAATACTGAAAAATCTCTAGCGAACTCTATACTTATAGTAATATAAATATCCAACAGTTAATCTTTGTTCTTAACATAAACATTTCTACATCAGAAGATACCAATACTCGCAGAATATTAAGAAAAAATGAAAACAAAAGGCGCAAATACACACTGTTTCAAGCTAACAGTAAACTAAAATGACAATGTTAAAGTCGCGACAGATAGGAAGCTAATAATTAAAGTCGCGACAGTAGTAAATGTAGAGATGAGTTTTTTTTCATCTAATCATTTATTTGGAGCCTTGACCAATCACTCGAGTAATTTTCCTGAGCATTAGGTTTTCCTTTAAACACATGATACATGAAAGAGCTCCTGACTAATTAAGAAACAAAAATAAATAGAAACATAAGAGGAACCCAATGGCCATATTCTTCTCCAATTTTCAGTTTTACTCACATCTCATGTGAATTCAAGAACATAAATTCGAAGGAAGAATTGGTCAACGAAATATGAACTGACGACTGAACCTTTTGACATACCCCAGGACAATACATTTTTGTTTATCTGTTAGTGTGTACTGCATAATTAACAGAACAATACATTTTTGCTTTAACTGTGAACATTCATTTGGGAACAAACCACTTCAAGACCATAGCATAATTAACAGAATGAATCCACTCCAATTTGCCTAGTGGAGCTCAGTACTAGCAAATGCAACAATTGAACCTATTTAAAGACTTTAAAGACAAAAGTACATTAAATCATAACACCAAAAAAAAAAGAAAAAAAAAATGATAAAACAAAACAAAAAATGATATTTTGGCATCATAGATTATTGTAATCTATATCATGTAACAGTAAGGTAATTCTATACTAGACAAAACACCAAGAATAGAAAATCAAACTCTATCTATAAGGGTGTCCTAATATTAGTCTTGTAACTTCTGCAGTTGCGATTTTAATCCAGTAAGTCTTGACTTTTGGCAAATTTGGTCCCGTGGATTTTAGGTTTGTTCAATTCTGGTCCTATTTAAGTCGGTGTACATTTCGACCTGGAAGCTATTCTAATACTCCAATTATTCCGAAAATGCCATTTGCACCAGATATGAATTAGATCAAGTTTCAAAAGGGTGTTGGAACCAATTACAGGTTTACTTATGGCTCCAACATTTTGTATTATTTATACTATCAATAAATTGTCCGAGAGGGGACATTTAGAATACGCATTTTCGTATGAAAGCCAAGGTACAACTACAAAAAAAAAAAAAAAAAAAAAAAATAGACGAACAAGACTATCCGCTCAAAGCAAATCTGCCACGTTGGTCGAGAGCTTTTCGGTAAATAGATTTGGCACAAAAATCTTCAGCATCTCGTTCACAACTTGATCATTGGGACACAAAATTGCTTCATTAACAACAGGCTTCTCTTCAACCTTTATTTCACTTTTACCTTTTGAAAAACTAGTTCCAGTTGCAAAGTGATTGAGACTCTCTTCTCTTTTTCTCGGAGTCCTTTTAAGTACGATAGACCTCCGCGGAGGTTTCGATAATCGCCTGTAGCAAGAAAATTGATGAATATCATCTTCAACGTCCGAATCAGACACATAGACCTTAGATGACTCTGTCAAATCACTAATTTGCATAACGATTGAATGGGCAACATCTAAACTTGCCTTTGTCTTCTCCAATAGTTGAAGGACTTCATCCACAAGAAGTTTGTGAGATTGAATAGATGTAGCAAAGTGAATTTCTGGATCCGATATCGCAGCATCATAACCTTTTGAATCCATGAATCAAAAGAGGAAAAAAGGGGGAGAACAATAGAACCAGAATCAAAGGATTAGAAAAATTTGGATTAAAAAAGATGGAAGATGGATTGGAAAAATATATAGAGACGTTGGCATATACGTCTGCCATGGGAATAGAGATCGATGTCACAAGAAAAGAGGAATATTAGATATGAAGAGGGCTCTTTATCAGTTGGAGGGGGTAAAAGTGGAAAAATATTAAAAAAAAAATGCAGAACGACAAATATTTAGTTAATGAGCAGAAAAGTCATAACGACAATTAATTTGAATAGGAGGGAGTAGTAATTAACTTGTGCATGAAAAAAATACTTTAAAAAGATAACAATATAAAAAAAAATCATATATTAATACATGAAAAAAAATATAAATTAAGAAAATAATTCTCAAAATTGATTTTGATCAAGTAATTGTTATGAAAGAGCTGTTACAATCATTTTCTTTATGATAATACACCCGGCCATTTTCATGAGTGAGTGTGACTTAAAAATAAAATTTATGCTCATAATTTATGGAATTCAAGCAAGTTATTTTGTAACTTAAAAATAAAATTGAATGCTAAAAATTTTGGAGGGAGAATAAAATTTAATGCATGAGAATAAAATTTAATGCATGATAATATAATTTAATGTTTTATTGCTCCTCTTTATATATATATATATATATATATATATATATATACCTCTCTATATATATATATATATATATATATATATATATATATATATATGTATGTATATATATATATTCAGAACGTGCTGAGCTTAAGTGACAACTCGCATGCTTCGGAATCATATGTAGCAAAATTACATGCTTGCTTGGGTAGATTTTAATTTACTTTCAATCCAAAAATAATTAGGTTCGGATTATCCATAAATATGTTGATTATTTATGATCATGTTCCATCTATTAATTGTATTTTAATATCATTTCTTATTATAACCATTGAATTATCATACTTTAACTTCTTTATACACGCGTATAGCTAGATTATTCGAGTTGAGTACTTCATATTCGAACTCATGCTCATTTAATAAATGAGTTGGCGTGACTCGGCTCGCTTAATAAACAAATAAAACTGTGAGCTCGAGTTTAACTCGTATAAGCTTGGTTCGACTCATTTAATAATCTTAAAACTTAGACAAAAATCCAAAATCTTAACCGAGTTGATCGCGAACACACTTAACTCGATTTGTTTGGTAGACAATGTGCAAATTTACAAACTAATCGAGCTTTTTGAGGTTTCATATGTCAAATTAAACTATGTAACAAGACAACTCAATTCGAATGATATCATTATATTTTGCAAGCCCGTGTGAAAAAAAAAAAAAAATTCTTGCTACGCCCCTTACTTTCTCTGTCGCCACCGCTAGCCGACGGACTTCACGGAATCATAAAATAAAATTCGCTGCAATATTACCTTGGATTTTTTATAGTGTGCAGGTGAGTTTAAAACTTCAACCGTCAATTCTCGTGACTCGTTTATTAATTATTAACATGTGAGCTCTTGATTGTTCGTCCTCTCATGAGTTATAATAGTCCTTAATCAGTTTTATGTTTTTGTCTATATTTTTCATACTTGGAGTTTTATTTTTGACATTTTTTTTTTTATGTTTTCATTATTGGCCAATTTTTAATCTTCAACAGATTTAACTGAATTTCTTTAATTAGGTATTTTTATATTCCAATAAAATTTATAATTTATTTCTCATTTAATTAAAGTTAATAAATTATATTATAGTTAGGATATAATGCCTTATCTATACAATTAATTATATTTTAATATAATAAAATAGTACACACAAATACATGACTAATTTTTTTTGCATTTGCACCTATAATGATAACGAATAAAATTAAATTTCACAAAAATGTAAAGGTTTATAAGGGACTGCCTAACATAAGGCAAGTATCTAGATTGCTTGACGTAGTATTACGTTTCTTTATTTTACTTTTTTAAACAAATTATTATGTTAGGTGGTCTAACTTACGAGGATAGATTCATCATACTATATAATAATAAGATGAATATATAATATAAATGTCATATTTCTATTTGTATTATTTTAAGTATGATATTTATTGGATAAAGGATATTGAGCCAATCATTAAATCTATACTTATATAAAAAGCTATCCCATTTACTAGATTTTTTTTTTTTTTTGACAAACGATAGGAAATCTCATAAATGGGAAAATAATGTCACGTACAAATATTGTCTACGCAAATACAAGCCAAAAGCCGAAGGTAAAGACCAGGGAGCACTACTAAACAAAGTAGGCTAAACATATACAAACCAAACAATAAAGGCAGAACTGAGCTGGAACCTTTAATGAAAAATAAGCTAGACAAACTAGAATACAAACAAGAGACCAAACCACTGAACTATCAAATAGACCTAGTTATGGACTCATAGCTTGCCGAAGAGTTAGGTACAGGTGATCTTTGTTTCTTGCCATTCTTTCAGAGCTCCTTTGACAATGTTGTGCTCGGGCCTCCACTTTTTCTCAAAAACCCAAAGGTTACGGGACTTCCAAAGCCACCATAAAATATACGTTGTGAGTTCGATTCTGTCTTCAGTGGCTTTGGACTTGTCCAGGCTGCATATTGTTCCCCACCAGTCACAGAATTGGAAGCTGTCAACTTCAATCCCTCCCCAGCTGACCGGTGCCATCTTCCACACCTTTCTTGCTCTGGAGCATTTGAGAAAAATATGTTCAACCGTCTCTGGATATTCTCCACAACAGGGGCAAGTGGCATCCACATCAACACCCTTTTTTTTTTTCAGATTCAGGTTCACAGGCATGGAGTTGGTGTAGCACTTCCATAGAAAATGTTTTATTTTGCCTTTGGTTCTAATGCTCCAGCTTCTGTGTCTTGCTTGTTGGTTTCTGGTTGCTGTGTTGCTTCCTTCTGCAATGTCAAGGGACTGAAATTTCCTGAAGGATAGGAAAGCATAGGAAGAAGAGACTGAAAATTTGCCTTTTGTGTCAATGTTCCATCTCCATTTGTCAGCCAGTAGGGGGTCTAGAGTGTTGATTTTGAGGATTTCAGAGCTGTCCTGTGCCACAAATATTTCCTTCACTTTTTGTTGATTCCATGTGTGGTCTGCATTCAAGAGGTCCTTCACCCAAAGTTTCTTATGGTCAGCTGCATTCTTGAACTGCAAAGGTCTTCCTCTTAGTCCAGGGACCCAATTGAAATCTTGTAGTTGAACAGTAGCTCCATCTTTAATGTCTATAGTGAGGCCCTCTTTAAGGATCCATCTGACTTTTAGCCATGATCTCCAAAGCCATGAGCAGTTCTGTTTCTGAGTAGCTTCAAAGATAGAGGAGTTTGGGAAGTATTTGCTTTTGAGGATTCTGCTCATGAGGAGTTGTGGCTGAGTTATCACCCTCCAGATTTGCTTGACCAGCATGGCATCATTAAAGAGAGATAAATCCTTGAAGCCAAGCCCACCCTGCTTCTTAGTTAGAGTCAATAAGTCCCATCTCTTCCAATGGATTCCGCTGTGCTGCTCATTGTTTTTTTCCACCAGAAATTTGCTATGATACCTGTCACCTCTTTGCATATGGCTACTGGTAGTCTAAAGCATGACATAACAAATAGAGGAAGAGCATTCAGAACAGATTTAACAAGTACTTCCTTCCCAGCAGTTGATAGGTACCTGTTTGTCCAGCTGAGTACTCTTTTCTTAACAGCCTCAGTCACAAACCCGAAGACTTCCTTTTTTGACTTACCAATGCCAAATGGTAGACCTAGATATCTGGAGGAGTGTTGCACTTGGATGCCTGGAAAAAAGTGGCAGACTTGTTGCTGGATCAGTGAGCTGGTGTTCTTGCTGAAGAAGATGGAAGATTTTGAGGTGTTGACCTTCTGGCCTGAGAATTTTTGGTAGCATTCCAGGATTGACTTGATAGCTCTGGCCTGATAAACATTTGCTTTACAGAAGAGTATGGAATCATCCGCAAAGAGAAGGTGGGTAAGGATAGGAGCCCCTCTGGCAAGAGATAGACCTCTGAAAATTCCTCTATCCACTGCTGCATTGATCATGGCAGAAAGGACTTGAGATACAATGATGAACAAATATGGGGACAGCGGGTCCCCCTGCCTTATTCCTCTCTGAGCATTGATGTATCCACTAATGCTGCCATTAAGAATGAAGGAGAAAGAAACAGTAGATACACACTCCATAATCCAGTTAACAAATTGAGCTGCAAACCCCATTTTGAGCATAGTCATTCTAATACATTTCCACTCAATCCTATCAAAGGCCTTCATCATATCCAGTTTTATAGCCATGAAAGAATGCCTGCCTGTATGATGTCTATTAAGGAAATGGATGCCTTCATTTGCTATGACCACATTGTCAGTTAACTGCCTCCCAGGTAAAAAAGCAGATTGGGCTTCATGAATGCAGCAATGAAGACAGTTTCTAAGTCTACCAGCAAGAATTTTAGAGATGAGTTTGTATACTACTGCACATAAACTAATGGGCCTATACTGGGAGAGATAGTTGGGATTAGCACATTTGGGAATAAGAGTTAAAAGGGTGTGGTTCCAGTATTTGAGGATTTTCCCAGAGAGAAAGAAACTAAGGACAGCTTCACATAAGTCCTGCTTAACCAGAGGCCAAAAATGCTGAAAAAATAGAGCAGGCATACCATCAGAACCAGGGGATTTTGAAGGATTCATGGAGAAGAGAGCCTGCTTTATCTCCTCTTCTTCAACTTGGGCCAAGAGCTCTGAGTTGATTGAGTCTGAGATGGTGTGCTGCACATCTTGAAGGATGGACTCACCCCCAGAGGAGCCTTCAGTGGTAAATAGGGTGTTGTAGAAATCTTCCACATGCTCTTGGATAGCTTCTTTTGTATCACAAACATTTTGCTGCTCAGTAACTAGTCTGGTGATAGCATTGAGTTTCCTTCTTTGCATAACCCAGGCATGAAAGAAATGTGTATTTTGATCTCCTTCTTTGAGCCACT